TTTTTCTCTATTCTAAGGAACGATATGTAATTTTACTGATTTGAAAAAAATAGAGATTGTTTGTTCTCTAAAAGAACGAAAACGAAGAGATGATCGCTTACCAAGTAATGACTCTTTCACATCACCAGCAACTTTATATACTGTGTCGAGTAATGACTCTCCTAAGAATAAGATAAACCAAGTAGTTGACAAACAGAATGAAATGTTTTCGTTTTCTTACGACCTTACCTTGTTTTTCGGCTTCTTCAGCTTGATCTTTCACTGTTGATTTAACTTTTTCACCAGCATCACTTCCCTGTCGTTTCAATTTATCCTAAAAAATTCAAAAATAGTTCAATCAGTAAGCAGGCTAATTGTTTGGTAGTTTCGTTGCAGAAAAAGTAGCGAAAGTATGAAAATGATCTTAAGATAAACCGATAACTCACGGCTTGTTTTCCTGCTTGATTCACAACTTTCTGTCCTTCTTTTTGAACTTTATCTTTGACATCTTGAGCGGTTTTTTGTCCCTAAGACATTTATAAAAATATACACATTATTAAGAAAATTAATATATGTAGAGAGATTGAACAAAAAACGCACATCATGACAACTCGTCGACTATATTAGATCTTGATATAAGCAAATAACTTACTGATTTTAATGCGTCATTTGCTTTGTCTTTAATATTCTCTTTCAAATCATTCGCGTCATCTAACTGATCAGATACTGATTCTCTGGCGGTTTTGACAACAGATTCAGCACTCGCTTTGGCAGAATCTAAAATAATAAAATATTGTATTTTCTAAAAAGGATTGGTCTACTCACAAAGGGCTACATAGAAAAAACTAATAATTGCGACATTTTTTAGATATTTTCGGCTACAAAATGATTGTGTATGAAACTAGCAACTCACTTGCAGCGTCTTTGACGCCAGCAACCACTTTCTCTTTTATCTTTTCACCAGTATTTACTGCCTCTTTTGCCTGTTGTTTAATATCATCACCAACTTTACAATTAGTATATGTTATTAATAGAAAAACAAGTACAAGAGACGTAGAAAATAATTTTGACATGATTGAGTTTCTTAATCAATAATGTATATATTATCTGAAAACGAAACGAAAAAATAAATATATTATCAAGCGAAGAATCTTTTTCTCAACAGTAGCCGTACGCCTTTTTCCGTCACGTGTGTCAAGTTCTTCAAATAACTAAAGTTGAGTTTTAAATGATGTGAGGCCTCAAAAATACAAGAAAACAACGAAAAAGTTTTCGAGTAGACAAAACTAAACTATTTTTATTATTAAAACTCATAGAAAATGCTACCAAACGAATACTAAAGTAAAAAATAAAAACCACCTTGAATTAATATTATCTTACGGTTTGCCTTGATTTCAAGCAGTGGGTAAAATATATGTGAGAGAATGACGCTGCAACTGTCAAAATTTATCTAGCTTCATTTCTTTTCTTCTAAAAAAGCACCTCTGAGTACTGCGATATCAACATTCAACTCACATCTGCCTGAATAAAAAAAAATAGAGTTTCAGCACATAATACTGATGCAAAAACTAATGAAGAAAACCACAGATATATATATATATAACATAAAAAACGTCCTTATGTAAAAACAATCAAGATTTTATCTGCCTACACTCACATTTTGTTTATCTATCTTATACTATTCTCGAGTGTGTAATTCTTCTGCTGAAAACTTTGTTCTCATTCAAAAAGATCATAAAGCGTGACGGCACACAATACAAGAGACAGTCAAGTCCAATTAGAATAAAGAACTTGGCTTAGTCACGTGGCATTGTCTGAAACCGTTGAATGGCTTAGTTAGAAGAAGAGAAAGAGTAAAACGTATAAACGTTTTATGCATTAAAAGTACATATACTTCCATTAGCATGTTGTACGATGGTAGAGGTTTCGAATCCCACGTATAGACTGGTTTACTTCCGCCATCTTTTTTTTTCTCATTCTCTCTTCGTTTATGCGTACTACACACCACACAATATAGGCACACACGCACAGTTCTTATTATGAGAAGATAAGAAGAGCTAAAAAAACAAGAAGGACGCGATTTAATATCAAATAACATCACTGTTTAAACAAAATAAAACGTTTAAAAATTTCAACTTCAACAAAATAAATATTTTTCCGTCGAAAATATACTTCTCAAGTATTAGTGGGTGAAAATTCTGTTTAAAACGTTCAACAAGTTTTAGATTATTTCTGACCATGGCTGGCCAATTACCGATTAAATTTCAGGAGCATTTGCAGGTATTTTTGAAAGATAGTATTATATACTCAAGGCTGGATTGTCATATTTCTCTTTCTAGCTTCAAAACATTGGTATCAATGTCAGTAATATCGGTTTCAGTTCGTTGACAATGGAATCAGACAAATTTATTTGTGTTCGAGAAAAAGTAAATGATACTGCATTTGTAATCATTATTGATATGGCTGATCCTCAAAATCCAATTAAACGTCCAATAACAGCCGATTCAGCAATTATGAACCCGGCTAGTAAAGTGATTGCTCTAAAAGGTAAGAAATTGTAAATATACTTCAGACTTTCTTTATATTTTAAGTTTTCCGTTTTTAGCTGGAAAAACTTTACAAATATTTAATATTGAATTACGTAGTCGTATGAAAACATACAACATGACAGAAGATTGTATTTTTTGGAAATGGGTATCTGTAAATACAATTGGTATTGTAACAGAAACGTCTGTGTATCACTGGACAATGGAAGGCGAGAGTCAACCAGTGAAAATGTTTGATCGTCATCAAAGTTTACAGGGTTGTCAAATAATTAATTATCGAACAGATGAAGCATTGCAATGGTTGCTCGTTATTGGTAAATGTTTCTGATTGCTCTTTATGATTGTCAAAAAGTAATTTCTGTTTTTTTATTCTCCAGGGATTCAAGCACAAGATAGTCGAGTTGTTGGTAGAATGCAGTTATATTCAGTTGAAAGAAAAGTCTCACAACCAATTGAAGGTCATGCTGCTGCGTTTACTCAATTCAAATTAGAAAATAATAAAAAACCATCTACTTTATTTTCGTTTGCCGTTCGTGGTCCAGCTGGAGGAAAGGTAAAAAAAAGAATATTTTGGTAGCTAGAAATAGTTAAGCGTCTCTTTTTGTATTTAGCTTCATATTATTGAAGTTGGTTCACCTGCACCTGATAATCAACCATTTCAAAAGAAAGCAATCGATGTTCAATTTCCAGCTGAAGCACCAAATGATTTTCCTGTCGCAATGCAAACGTCATCAAAACATGGTGTTATATTTCTCGTTACAAAATATGGATATGTACACATATTTGATATAGAAAGTGGCACATTAATCTATATGAATCGAATTAGTGCTGATACAATGTTTGTTACAGCAGCTTACGAACCAACATCAGGAATAATTGCTGTTAATCGAAAAGGACAAGTAAGTACTAATTGTACTTAAAATACCTTGTTATTTATCAGTGAAATGCCTTTTAAGCAGTCTAGCGTTAGTATTTTCAATCTGGTCTTAGTCAAATTTTTTTCATTATTATAATAACAGGTGATGAGACGTTTCACTACTGACTATTTTTGTGGTTTATGATTTGTTGTCTGTGAAGCAAAAAACCAGTTAAGTTAGATCAAACAGATTAAAAGCATGTTTTTACTTATTTCATAGGTTTTATCTGTTAGTATTGACGAAGAAAATTTAGTGTCATTTATTCAAAACTCATTGAACAATCATGAATTGGCGTACAAATTAGCTGTTCGTTGCAATTTACCAGGTGCTGATCAGTTATTTGTTGCAAGATTTGCTCAGTTATTTCAAAGTGGAAACTATGGTGAAGCAGCAAAAGTAGCAGCAACAGCACCACGAGTATGTCAATATCGTCAATTATGATTGGAACTAGAGTTTTATGCTCTTTCCTGTTTAGGGTATACTACGTACGCAACAAACAATTCAACAATTTCAAACAGTACCACCGCAACCAAATCAACCGTCACCATTGCTACAATATTTTAGCATATTGTTAGAAAATAGTAAATTAAATCGTGAAGAATCGATCGAATTATGCAAACCAGTTGTTATGCAAGGAAAAAAACAATTGTTGGAAAAATGGCTTAAAGAAGATAAGGTAATTCTTCGTCTATTGTTGTTACCTGAAAATAATGTTTGTTTTTGCTTTGTAGCTTGAATGTAGCGAACAACTTGGCGATTTAGTTAAAACGATCGATCCAACACTGGCCTTGTCGGTCTATTTACGTGCAAATGTTCCTATGAAAGTAATTCAATGTTTTGCTGAAACCGGACAATACCAAAAAATTATATTATACGCGAAGAAAGTCAATTTTCAACCAGATTATATATTTTTATTGCGAAGTATAATGAGAATTAATCCCGAACAAGGTGTACAATTTGCTCAGGTTTGTACCTCTGCTCTTCTCGTTCTGACGAGAAGTTTTTAACAGTGATTGGTCGAAACCTATACGACGCAGAACTTTAACGTTTAAAGTTTACGGATTTAGGTCCAAGTCAGGCTTTTTAATAATCCTGCAAACGATTTTCATTCAGAATAGTTTTTCTACGTCAGATTAACTTCTGTACATGCATTGCAAAGTTTCCTTAGACGCTCGCTACACTTTTCTGTATTTATTTAGATGCTTGTTCAAGATGATGAACCATTGGCTGATTTGACACAGGTGGTTGATGTATTTCTCGAACAAAATCTTATTCAACAATGCACAGCCTTTTTATTGGATGCATTAAAAAATAATCGTGAAGATCAAGGACATTTACAAACTCGTTTACTCGAGATGAATTTAATGCAAGCACCACAAGTAAGAAAAAAGCTTTTCCTAAACTGCTTATATTGTTGTTTACTTCTTTTTTGTCTTTTTAGGTAGCTGACGCTATTCTTGGTAATAATATGTTTACACACTATGATCGACCACAAATTGCACAGTTATGTGAAAAAGCTGGATTATTACAACGTGCACTGGAACACTACACAGATTTATACGATATTAAACGTGCTGTTGTTCATACACATTTATTGAATCCAGATGTATGTCTAGATTTATAATCTGTCTATTACACAGAATAATGTGTTCTTTTATTTAGTGGCTCGTCAATTATTTTGGACGTTTGTCTGTTGATGATTGTATCGAGTGTTTGAAAGCAATGTTACAAGCCAATATCAGACAAAATTTACAAGTTGTAGTACAAATAGCAACAAAATATCATGAACAATTGGGTACACAAAAACTGATCGAATTGTTTGAGTCATTCAAAAGCTATGAAGGTAATTAGTGTGTTTAAACATTCAATATAAGATTTGTTAAAGAGAATATGTTTTGTTGACACAACACACAACTTTAACGAGTTGAGGATAGTAGCTAACAATCAAAATCAAAAATTCTACTTAGTAATAATCCAAATATAATTAATAGATATCTCTTTTTGTTCATGATATATGTGTACATTTGAACGCTCTTCCGTTCTATCTATACTTTGACGTAACTTTCTTTAATGGCATATCTTTTCTATTCTGATGGAATGTGATATCATTCTTTCTTTCTTTCTATCCATCTATCTTTCATTTTGCCATGAAAATAGAATACGAACATTTGACATATGTAATCAAGGAACATAAAACATATACGAGACGAGATATCTCGTTTGCTCGATTCTTAGTTAATTACAACTTAGAATACTAATTTTTACTTTCTTGACTTCAATAAACAAATATTGTAAAATATTCAAAGTGTAAAACTACATTTCTCTATGATGAAAATACAATGTGAAGCGCATTTTCATATCAAATGAAATGATGATATTTCACATCTCCAGTGTAGTTCTGATGAGTTGATAGTTTACACAAATTTTGTATAAATAAAATTGAAACAAAAATCTGAAATTGCATCCCATTTTTTGGTTTATGCTCACAAGTTAAATACATATATAAAAAGAAAACGGTAACAAGAGTAGGTTTCGCATGAAAAGGATTCTTATCAATAGCAATGAACGTCTATAACAAAGAGTTTTACTCTTTTTCATTTTTACAATAAATAGATAATAAAAACTAACTATATTCCAAATCTATACTCCTTGATTGTCATTGAAAAAAAAATAAGATCTAGCATACGTAATGATACTGCTATCTCTTATATAAATTTTCTTTGTAGTTCTGGTGTCTATGATGATAATACCGTTACATTCGCAAATACTTCTGAATAGAATTATGATGTTAACTAAGGCCTTTCTGAGACGCTAGAAAATTTATTTAGAAATATATAAAATTATTGTAAAATTTATAGAAAACTAAAATGATATTGTTAGACAAACTTAACTCTTACGAGGGAACCTCTCGAGGTGATTAAAAGCTTTTCGACTCAGACTATTTTCATCATGTAGGGAATAGTCAGTAGTGAAAAATCCCAAGTTGGTTTGGGTCCATGCGCCTTTTTGACGGAGATATGAG